AGAAGAGAAGAGAAGAGAAGAGAAGAGAAGAGAAGAGAAGAGAAGAGAAGAGAAGAGAAGAGAAGAGAAGAGAAGAGAAGAGAAGAGAAGAGCTTCAGGAGAACGGACGAATGCAAGAAACAAGCAACGACGTTTGTAGGATAAACTAGGGCAGTACGCATTTACAAAAGGCATACTGTGAGACAACACCACAAGCATTTGAGACACACACACACACAGGCTGACTCTGCTGCTCCCATACACACTTCATTCAGAGCGAGCGCAAAACTGTGTGAAGTGTACTTACCAGGGTAGCAGGAGTAGCCCACTTCTGCAGCATGCTTTCTCTCCCCCTCTCATTCCTTTGCTCCCTTAACTGCTCCCTTCTCCTGCTCTGCTGTGTCCCTTGTAAAGCACCCCGAGTCTCTCTCTCCCTCTCTCACGCTCTCTCTCTCTCAGGCGGTAAATCCCAAGCAGTGTACTTGTGCTACAAACTGCTATCTGCCTTTCTCCCCCCCCCTCCCCCCAAACAGACACCACAGACACACACACACAGAGCCAGCAACCTTCTACTAAATCTGGCAGGCAGGAAGCTCCCTCACTACCACTGAAATACAGCACTCAGGTGATCTCTCTCACACACACACACACACACACTCGCACAAACGTACACACAAAACTGGTAGCACACACTAGCACACGCCCACAGGGAGGGAGTCCCGCATGCAGAGCTCCAACGTGTATTATGCAAGGGGCTGAATGCGAGCCAGAGCTCTCACACTGTCTGCCCCACACACACACACACACACACACACGCAAGCACACACAGGGCCCCTCCCACAGTTCGCTCGTCCAACTTCATCAGGTATTCATTCAAAAAACACACACATGCCAGCTGGCTGCACGCCCAGAGACCGCTTACAAGCAGAGAAAGAGAACGAAAGGGAGGGAGAGGGAGAGAGAGAGGCTGGGTGGGAGGGTGTTACAGTGAGAAGGGCAGAGAGGGGACTGTGGGAGAGATAAAGGCGGAGGGAGGGAGAAAGTGAGTAGTAGAGATTAGAGAGAGGGAGGCAGACAGAAACAGAGTGAGCGCATGAAAGAGTGACACATGGAAAACTCGTCGAGACACACCGATAGACTTGCATATAAGGCTGATCTGATCTGATCACGGTGACGCCAGACATATTTGATATATGCTGGAGAGGAACCGAGGAAAGGTGTCTTGTTTATAAAGGTGTAAGGGTTTGTGAATTAAATCAAGGAGGCAAAAGGAAAATCAGAACCTCTTTTCGTCCCCCTTTTCAGATATAGTTGGTTTCATGCTCGGATTCGACAAGCCTGCATTTCCCAGTTTTGACCACTAGATGGTATGACTGATTACAATTGTAGAGGAGTCTATTTCCGTTAGTTAGCTGACCTAGTTAAAAGACCATTTGGAAGTAAATATAGATGAAATGTGCTCTTCAATGCTAAGAGATGTAGCACGCACAGAAGAGAAATGAGCACTCTCTTATAGGATGTTAACACACACACAAACACACGTGCGCACACATGCAATGACTAACTAACTTACGGAAAAATGATTCCCGAAAGATTTAGTTGGTCTAAACATGCACTAAAAAGACATCCTGTTTGTTTTAGTTGGCCTTCCTGTCAGCTTGATATCATTCCAGGGTTCCAATGTTCAACACTGGGTATTCATAGTTTCTGGCAGCAGGAGACATTTCAATATTTGCAATGAATGTGGTAACATATAAAACACAGAGTAAAATGCTCAATGTGAAGAGTTTTAAAAAGCAGGAATGTCACAGTTTATTTGTAGTCTTTTTATTTTGTTTTTCATAGGGCATTCTTACCGATAAGCGATCATCTAGTACGGTTGGGCTTTCGTTCATGTTGACAGCACAGTTCGTGATTTGCTATGGCACTGAAAGTTGCGAAATTTCCTTCCTGTTTCAAAAATATTCCACCCATTTCTAAAGAAATTGAATATTGTGCATTTCATTAGAAATGTTAAGATCGGGGAATTTGAAGGCAGTTTTGGAAATGTAACCAACACCACTGCATTTTATCATGAAGGAATCATGCACTGCATATGCGCTAAAAAATCGTAATATTACGTTGTTAACGAAGAGTATTTTAACATCAAAATGAAGCTGAAAAGAATTAACTCAAAATATCTGATTGAGGAGGAAAAGCAAAGCAAAAAACTGCACAACTATGACTATTTTGTCCATTAAACATCTTGCCCTAACCCAAGAAATACAATATGATTAGTAAGCCTGTAGCCTTCTAACATAGAAATATTTCTCAGCAAGCTTGAATCATAATTCACTGTATGAAGAGTTCACTAGAAGAACAAGTCATTAGTTTTTCCATTTAAATCAAATACAATGCAAACTATGATAAAGTCTCAGTACATTAAAGTACATTTTAGTATTTTAATGTCAACATGTAGCTTTAAAGAATGGGCTGAAAAGACGCATAAATAAGGAAAGAAGTGAAGCAAAAGACAGACTAGAAAACCAGACTAGACCGTGCTATTGTTAAGTCAGCTGACCTCAGCAGCAAAGCAACACTGGTCTGTCTCCTTGGCAGCTAATTGGAGCCTCTCTGCATTTAATCATAATTCATTTGTGTGTAGGGCTGCTCAATTAATCGAATTTTAATCACGATTAGGATCTGGGCTTTCAACGATCATTAAAAATGACTGAGCCGATTATTAGCCCCTCCCTCGTGCTTTACTCTCGCGCTGCTCCGTGTGGCAAATCGAGCACACCTCTCTGCATTTCGAACACGCATCACAACAATTAAGAGGACCCAAGGGAAGCTCGGAAAGCTAAGCAGAAGTTATTTGGAGAGGAGAGTGACTGCCGTTGGTTGAAAAGAGGTAAAAAAAAAAATTCAGTGGTGTGGAAACATGGGTCAGACGTGGATCAAATAGACACAGTGTGTAAACTTTGCTATGGTGTCATAGCTGCACCACAGAGCAACACTGCAACGTTCACTAAACATAGATGTTTACATTTTTCATTTATTTTTTATATTGCAAACATTTGCACTGTTATCAGTATTTGCACACTATTTTATATTATTTTTTAAAGTCATTATTCAATACATTGTTATTGTTAACCCTTTAAATCCCTGTAGAACCTGAACCTGTAAGCTAGCGCAATAATTTTTTTGCATATGAAACCGGAGGAGTTGTACTTACATCTTATGCCATCAGCTTGTCCTCGTCACGGTTTCCTTCCACATAAAGCTTTGCAAAAATTGCATAAAAAGCGCTTGCAGGAACAAAAACATAATATTCCAGAAACACGCTTTGCCGATCCGATCAGCTGTTCGTAACACTTCCCACATTGAAACAGACGTCAGCGCGAACTATCGCATGTCCGCCATTTCCTGTCCGAAACCGGAAGTGACGTCATATTCGCGGAAAATGTAGTTTTTTACTTGTAGGCCTTAAAAGCCTATACTGGTGTTTTTATAAGTCATGTTTGACTTTATTTCTGAATAGTTTCTGGGATGCTTAGAACTCGAATTGCACTGCTGGAAATAGTTTATTTTGATGCACCTGCTGTTTTCTTTGCAAATTTGCATCATAGGATTGTTTTTTGTTTTTCCTGCAGTATATAAAAATTGCTGTATCTCCAAAATAAAACTATGAAGACACTCAAAATAAATTTCCTGTTGTTGTAAACTATTTTTTGCAACTTTTTTGTATTTAAAGTTTTGAGGGATAAACCTCTTAAATTTCTCCAAGTAGAAATATATGTAAAAAACAAAACAAAAACGATTTTCAATTTTTTTGTAGTTTATTGCACTTTTTTGCAATTAATGTAGTTACTATGGACTTAATGCATACATATTATTAAAATATGGGCTATAACAGTTGTATTGATGTATAGCAACTTGAAATGCTCCCACAAATGGCACTACAACATGTAAAAAAATAATATAAGCTCTGGCGGACTTGGTTCTATAGTAGGTCTTAAAGGGTTAAATAAATATCGTCAAATAATCGAGATCTCAATTTCAGTGAAAATAATCGTGATTATCATTTTTGCCATAATCGAGCAGCCCTATTTGTGTGGGTTTGTTTACAAGTGAAAGCAGGATAAGACAAAGAGAGCGAGACAAAGTGGGAGTAGAGAATGAGCAGAAAGAAATGAGAAATTTTAGTTTCTTGCTTGGCGATCCGAAGTCTAGCCCTGCACGCCTCCCTCCTTTGATCAGGTGGACCGTCTTGCCTGAAGCCTTGGTGAAACTTTTCGCCAACTGCTGAATCTAAAGATAAATGATACCTGTTGTTTCAAATGTAGCCTGAAGCCCAACCAAGACAACTGATTCAGTTGGGTGTGACTGAAAATTGGAAACCAATACGCTTCCAAAACATCACTATTGCTCAATCTTGGCACGACTTGCCTTCCTCAAAACCCATTTCTCATTGTCCTTTAGCATAAAAGTGTCCTGTTGAATCCCTACAAATGTACATAACTGCTTCATGGTGAATGTGCTGTATGTGTATAACACAACATCATAATCATCACACATCTCCAGCTTTAGAAAAACACACATTTTTTCTTTGATTGACAATAATTTGACATAATCTTTTCACTTTAAACAACAAGAAGCACTTTAATGCAGACCTGACTGACAAGCCACACTCCTTAGTGAGTTTGATTAGAAATGGCCAGAATGAAGGTTGAATCAAAACACACGCATTGAGCTTTTCAACAAGACTCACTCATAACATGACACCTCAGTCAATGATCTCCTCTCATCAAGAATCAATGAATTGTTAAGTGCACTGAAAAATTCACTGCAAAACCTGCCTTATTCTGTCTCAGCCTTCTGCCTTTCTGCAGAGCACCGTCTCAGTCACAGCCAGTCACTAAGGAAACTGATGAAAAGCTTCTATATATACACACACACCCATATACATATCACACACTGCTCTGCTCTCTCTCCCTGTCACACACACACTGAATCTCTGTGCCGCTCTCTCTCAGTCGCCCACGCAAACTTCACACACGCTGTGGTTATGACAACAGCAACCCCCGCCATCCTACGCTCTCTTTACCCATCTATCCCCTCCCGTCTCCGTCGGCAAAAGTCTCAGCTCCCTTGTTTATCCATGTCTTTCCATCTGTCTCTGGGCCTATGTGTGACTATGTGTGACTATGTGTGTGCATGTGTGCGCAAGCTGGTGAGAGAGCAGGTGTAGAGCCATCTAATGGTCACACACTCATACACACAAACTGTGTCTGCCAGACAGACTTTATGAACTAATGTTCTGTCAGTAATCTATTATTCAGAACCTTTTGTAATCATTTCATAATTATGCTAATAGTGCCCTCTGAACTTTGGGGCATTTACACGGTCTGCAAATATCTTTCATTTTTACCCCCCCCCCCATACCCGTTCATCTCTGTCTCGCTCACAAACCCTCTGCCAGACTGTGTTAACTTGCTGGCAGTGTAGTGCGCTACTTCGGCCCAAGCCACATCCCATTCACAAACCTACTAATCCACACACACTATTAGATCCCTGCTAGTCACACACACAAAGAAGTATGCATGTGTGTGTTTGCAGGATTAGGGAGGGACTGGAATGGATGGGCAAATCACTGCTAAGCTCCTCTATTGCTGCATAATCCTACTGAGTACACACACACACACACACACACACACACACACACACCGAACACATACACAAAAGCATGGAAATAGAGACACACAAATATGTAAATATGCAAACATGCATTCAGATGTGCACGCACAAAACGAACAAGTGCTCTCTCATTCAATGTCGCACGCATACAAAGAATGTATTTGCGCACGCCCACTCACGCAAACAATAGTAGTCATCGTTGACATTCAGACACACAAATATGCAGGCAAAAGTCCAACACACTTATTCAATAACAAATGCAGACATAAACACTCAGATATCTTTTCAAAGACAATATATAATCCTGTTCGGAGTATGTGTGTTGCAGTACAAAAGGGAGTAAGAGAGAAATGTGGGATGGGAGGTAGCTGGAGACAGAAAACACGAGTTGGGTTTTTTTCCATCTTCTGTTAAAAAAAAAAAAAAGACCCCAACGAAGAGAGAAAAATGGAGATAAAAGTAAAAGACAGAAAAGAGGCGTAAAAAAGAGAGATAAATGTAATCCAAACACCATTATGCAATCTATTCATTCATTCTGCCCACACAACTAGAACCCTTTTGTTCATTCAACCACCTTCCCCAACCCTTCAAGAAATGCAATACATACAATTAGTAATCCTGTTTTAAATTCTAAATATGACTCAATTAGTGTTTAAGAGCATCGAAATATTTCTCCACAAGCTTGAATCATAATTTATTGTGTAATGTAAAAGGGTTCACAAGAAGAACCAGTTATCCAGTGACTGTAGTTAATAAACAAAGAAGAAAAAAAAACAACAACCAGTAAGGTCACTGTAAATTACATACGCTGACCCCATGTGGTCCTATGGAGTTAGTGCAAGCATACAGCCCATTTGTATCTTAAGTCGGCCAAAGGAGTAAAAAAAGAAATACTATACCCCTTACTTTACTTTACTTAGAGGTTTATATATTTAATCCCTGAGATGTCTGAATAAAAATATTGAATGAAATACACACATCACACACTAACTATATTAGTAAATGTTGATATATGTTCGTATGTATGTATCTATTATGTATGAATTATGTATTATGTTATATATATATATATGTATATATATATATATATAAAAAAAAAAAAAACACCCAGCACGCCCCTGCGGGCGGTTTATCCTTCAAGCTCGGGTCCTCTACCAGAGGCCTGGGAGCTTGAGGGTCCTGCGCAGTATCTTAGCTGTTCCCAGGACTGCGCTCTTCTGGACAGAGATCTCCGATGTTATTCCCGGGATCTGCTGGAGCCACTCGCCTAGCTTGGGAGTCACCGCACCTAGTGCTCCGATTACCACGGGGACCACCGTTACCTTCACCCTCCACATCCTCTCGAGCTCTTCTCTGAGCCCTTGGTATTTCTCCAGCTTCTCGTGTTCCTTCTTCCTGATATTGCTGTCATTCGGAACCGCTACATCGATCACTACGGCCGTCTTCTTCTGTTTGTCTACCACCACTATGTCCGGTTGGTTAGCCACCACCATTTTGTCCGTCTGTATCTGGAAGTCCCACAGGATCTTAGCTCGGTCATTCTCCACCACCCTTGGGGGCATCTCCCATTTTGACCTCGGGACTTCCAGGTTATACTCGGCACAGACTTACAAATATATATAATACTAATATATATATTCCCAATATATATATATATTAAATATATATATATATATAGTGTGTGGTGCGTGTGTGGTGTGTGTGTGTGTGTGTGGGTTGGTAGTTGTGTGTTTTGGTAGTAAAACTAATGAAAATACAGTAAAAAAAATCTAAGCCATCTAGTGGGCCAGATTGGACCTTTGGGCAGGCCAATTCTAGCTCATGGGTCAGATGTTTGGCACCCCTGCACTAAGCTAATGAAGCAACAAAAATTGTAAAAAACAAAAAAACCAAAAAACTTTTTCATATTCACATAATGAAGAAATGGTTTACTGAATCTGTGTGTTTGGGTTTTTTTTGTTTGTTTTCTAAAGGTTTTTAAAGTTTACTCATGGTTGCTTCATTACTTTCCTTCACTACTTTTTGTTTTAGG